TATCTTGGCGAGATTTTTTTTTTAAATCTACGGCTATAAATCTGTTCTGCACATTCACAATCTTGAATTGCTATTTCATCGTTTTGCCATGAGTTTAAAAGAGCGGACATAAAACTGCTTCTACTAGGCAATGAAATTCTTTTTGAACATTACTTCACAAGTACCAAATCCTTTTTTTTCATCATTCTTTTAAGAAAACTCCCTGTGTCTGTGGGCACAGATGGGGGGCTTGCTTAAAAAAAAGAGATCTGCTTTTTATCACGTAGCGAGAGGTGGTGGTCGCGAAGTTGGAGTGGTGACAGAAAGGGGGCGCTAAATGGGAGGAGCTGTCTATTGCAGTGGGAATTGCAATAGCCAGACCTCCATCTGTGATTGATCAGTGAGTTGGCTCACAGGTCTTGTGTTTGTGTGCGCAAGTGTACGGGTGGGTGTGGGTGGCTGGGAAATCTGGAGAGAGAGGGAGAGAGAGAGAAAAACAGAGTGATAGGTTTTGCCCATAAGGTTCAAACTGGGCGTGTGCTGGAGTTATAAAAAGACTGGCAAAAAAGAGCAGATATGCTATTGTGGCAGAAAGGTCTGATCAGGATCAGCATGGCTTGGCGTGATTAAACAAATAAGAGCGTGGGTATTAGTATGTGTTGAATAACCTTTGCGTGTTTATTTTCAATGGTACTGAACAATTAGCCCATTATTTTCCACACTAACAAGCCTTGACATGTTTTCATGCACAAGTAAGCATTTTTCCTTATTCTCTCCTGACCTTATTACAAGAATTACTTCCTGCTGAACTCTCATTTTCTTTGTTATAAGCGGGAACCAGTGGTTGAAAATAAATCAAAAAGTTAGCCTCTCAGAGGTTGTATGGCTACCTGGTAAATATTTGAGGTCCTTAAGAGTAGAAGCATAACACACTCACTGGACACTTTAATAGGTACACCTCTCAGGTACTAGGTTGGACCCCCTTTTGCTTTCAAAAATGCTGTAATGCTTTCTGGATCAGTTCCGTCAAGAAGTTTGAAACATTCCTCAGAGATTTCGGGCCACAATGACGCGACAACATCACATAAATTCAGATTTGTCAGCTGCATGTCCAAGATGAGAATCACCACATCCCTAAGATGTTATATTGGACTGATATGCAGTGACTGTGGATGCCACCTGAGTACAGTGATCCCATTGAAACCAGTTTGAAGTGATCTGAGTTTTGTGACATGGCGCACTATCCTGCTGGAAGCAGCCATCAGAAGAGGCGTACAGTGTGCTCAGCAACAGTGTTTAAACAATAGGTGGTAAAGTGGGGTTGAAAGTGTGCCAAGAAAACCATTAGACCACCAGCAGCAGCCTGACCCACTGATAAAAGACAGGATGGATTCATACTTTCATTTATGCAGCATTCTGAGTCTGAATGTTGGAGCAAAAATCTAGATTTATTGGACCAGGCAATGTGTTGCCAACAAGAGATGCTCTTCTGCACATACTGGTTGTAACAAGAGGTTGTTGGAATTATTATTGCCTTCCAATCAGATCTGCATAGCTTCGCTTTTCATACTATTATCTATAAACCCTAGAAATGGTTGTGCAGGAAAATCCCAACAAATCAGCAGTTTCTGAAATATTCAGACCAGCTTGTCTGGCACCAACAACCACACCACAGTCAAAGCCACATAAAATACCCCTCTTTGCAATTTTGATACTCAGTTTTCAAGTTTTCAGCATGCTGTCTTCACCATGTCAAATGAACTGAGTTGCTGCCATCTGACTGGCTGATTAGGTATTTGTATTATTAATGTCATGGTCCTGGGCCATGCGGGCCCAGTAGTCTTAGTTTTCATGTATGTTTGTATTTTGTTCTTTATTTAGGCCATGCTTCCTGGGTTGATCTGTTACGTTGTTCCTTATGTGTTTTCCCGTTGTGACTCTCACCCCCTGTGTGCCCCTCTGTGTATCTGAGCCCTCGTCTCTCCTTATGTTTTTATTCCATGTTTCCCCTGCCCATTATGTCTAAGTTTTCCCCGTGCTCTCTCCCCTCCTGTCTGAACCTCTGTGCACTTCCTGTTTACTTTGTGACTCTCACGCCTGTACATGTCATGTTCAGTTCACCCCGCCCTGTCTCGTTATGATTATCAGTGTCACCTGTGTTCCCCGTGTGTTCCCACTTTCCTCGTTTACCCTCTGTGTATTTCTGTCTGCGTCTCCCTCTGTTCAGCGTCGCGTTCTCCCTCATGTTGTGTGTTATTCTCCCCGTGGTTCCTGGTTTACTTTATGTTTAGCTTTCCCAGTTTAGTTTAGTACTGTTTTCGTGTTCCACTTTTGCCAGCATTAAAGCTGTGTTTTTGAGTTTATCCCCGTGTCTGTGAGTCTGCATTTTGGGTCCTTCTCCTGCCTGCCACACAACGCACCATGACAATTAAGCAGTTGAACAGATGTGCAAAGTTACTAAAGTTGTGAGTTTATAACCTACTTTTGCATAAGGCTACCGACAGAAGTCACTGTCAGACATATACATTTAAACTTGTGCACCCAAATCTTTCCTTAAGTCATTAAAGATGTATGCTGTGTACAGTCATTCCAATTGGGAAAAACAACAGTTCAAAGAAGTCATTAAAAGCTAAACATCAGCATAAAAATCATTCAAGTGAATTGAGAGACTAGCAGCAAAATACTGCCGTGCCATTCCACTTATGACTCTGGATCTTCTTATAAACCTTCTCAGCTAACACACTTCTTTATATGCCTCTAAAGTCAGGCACCCTTGTCAAAATCATTTATTTAATCCTCATAGTTTTAATTCTATAAATAGACCTCACCCATGAAGTCAATCTTTCCATTTGTTCATTTCATACCATCAGTGTGATGCTTTCATGCCAGTAGAGGATAAAAAGAAGGTGCCAGCCTCTTTTTTTTAATGTATATATTAATGTTTAACTACAGACCTCAGTGCTTCACACCGTTTTTTTCCTCTTCGCCGCCTTCACCCCTCTCAAAGTAAACCAGAGTCAGACAGCCGTAATAAATCACCAAAAGAGCCAGGGTCCAATCACCACCGCAGCTGAAAGGCGTGAGAAAGCCTGTGGGCCTTTGATGATAACACCTAGTCAGGTTATCAAACCAGCTCCATGCCACAAAGCGTGGTTGCAGAAGTGATTGAGTCTCTGAGCTCAGAGCATCAGTCAAGGATGCAAGGTCACTCAGATGGCAACCACATGATTTAGACCTTGACTTGAGTGAGTAGTACCTGCTATAACAAAGGTTTATTTACAGGCTGGTGACTCCATCACTCCATGATATCATATGTTTTAGCATTCCAAGTGTCAGACAGAGAAAATGGATGAGACTTTGTGTCTGAGCCAGGATAGTAGTTGACTGTACAGTACCAGAGACGAAACACAGAGCTTGTCGTAGCCACGACAGCACGAAAAGACGGATGAGAGAGCTGACATATTTCTGTGCTAGACACATTCAGCACTCCCACTGGGCTTTAATGAAGTCACTGTGCACTTACCTATTCTCAGGGGGTAAACAGAGAGGTCAGCCGCAAATCACTTACTCCAGCCCAGTGAACCGGTGCCATGAGCAGACATGTTTGAGGTTTAGTACAGACAGTAAAGACCAACATAAACTATGACGGGTAATGTCTGCCACATACTGTGTCAGCAGCCCACCCTGCCTTCAAGCTAGGGAGGTGATAAGTATCGACACCTTGCCAAAACTAGTAAAACAACCAAAATAGTTTCTTTTTGACTAAATCCAACAACAGGTCTGTGCAGTTTTAGCAAAAACAACCTGTTCTGGATGCGACCAGAGCCAAAAGTTCTGCATGCCAAATTACGATGTGGCTCCTCGTAATAAATCACAGCCTGAGCTATGTGCAACAGAAATGCGCTGGCTCGGTGCGTTCCAATCAGCATGCATTACTAATAAGTATAACAGCCTATTTGTAATGGGATAGAGAGGAAAGAATGCATGTAACCTGATTTATCCTTACATCAGTGGTAAGGGCAATCCAACTAAAATAGAAACACCTTAAAACAGAAACAGAGCGGAGAACTGCTGAGCATCTCCAGCACTACCATAACAAAGGAAATTTTAACTCCTCTCCCATGGTGTCCGTTAAAACAAACAGAGCAATCATTGTCACAGAAACCAGGCCAGATAATTACAGCATAAACATTTATTTCACCAGGGAAGATGAAGGCAAACAAAGCAATATTACCATGGTTTCATAAAGCTGCATGAGTTTCTTTTTTGCTTTTATGAGTGGGGAGGGGGGGTTGATTCACTTCTACAGAAAGTCGATCATTCATGCAGGACTTGTAAAAGAAACAGAAATACATTGCAGTGTGCTTAAGTCAACCGCCTCATTAATGCCATTGCATGATAATCTAACAGCTTATCAACACAACTAATTAAGATAAAACAAATACAAGATTGTGAAGTTTGCCACCACATTTATGAGTTTACAGGAACACAAGCTAATGCAATAGACACTGGTCAATTAATTTCCAGTTTTGACTGAATTTCCCATGGAAAGCTGGCACTGTCCCTGCCATAAAGTACCAAAGAAAAATATGTTGTTCATAAAATAAAGTTATTGTTCCTTTTAAAGTGCCCTAAGCTTGCAGCTCAAATGCCCATAATCAGCTCGCTTTCTAGAAGCCAAATGCTCCGCAAGGGAAATGCTAGGCAGCCTAATGAAAACCAAACCAGGCTTCGCTCTTTGTGCTGGTAAATGCCCAGCTGCGCAAACCTCAGTCAGTCAGTGATGGACAGCCATTGTCTTACATAAGCATATACCAAAAATAGAGCCGACAGTTTTCATGTGAAGAGATCCGACCGCTATCGAAACCATAGGCAGAGCTCTCCCCTCTGATAACATCCCACACCCAACAATTGAGACAAGCAGAAACTCTCTTAGTTTTCCCAGTATTACTCACCAAGATGGAAAAAAAAGATAAATGAGTCAGAGAGGAAGAAATGGGACATGCAAATTACAGTCTTACCAAAACATGGGTGAGCACAATCTTTATGAGTGGCGCTCCAGAAAGGTTGACCGACAGGGCTGGCAGAGGCTCCACTTTCAAAGAAATCAGACAGCTTGCTACATGGATTTTGTGATCCTTGTAATCAGCTGCTTCATTAATCCTAAGAGATAAAAAGGGGAGAATTGGCTTAGATAATCTAAAAAAGAAACTGAAGCAGAAAGCCAGACAAACATACAAAAGAAAGAGACGGAAAGAAATGGCAGACATACAGTGGGGGGAGATTTATTTGATCCCCTGCAGATCCCAAGTCTTTGTAAGTTTGCTCACTTACGAAGAAATGAAACATCTCCAATTTTATAGTAGCTTCAATTTAATGGAGAAAGCAAGAATATATACCAAAATATAGAAAAAAAAGACATTGAATCATTGAGTGAAATAAGTATTTGATCCACAGGCGAAACATGACTTAGTACTTGTTGGAGAAACTCTTGTTGGCAAGCACAGCAGTAAGATGCTTCTTGTAGGTGGTCACCGGGTTTGCACACATCTCGGGAGGGATTTTGTTCCACTCCTCTCTACAGAAACTTTCTAAATCCTTTAGGTTTCTTGGCTATCGTTTGCTAACTTGAAGCTTCAGCTCCTCTACAAATTTTCTATAGGACTTAAGTCTGAAGGCCGTCTACGCAGTTGACTTTTATATGCTTCTTCTTTAGCTACTCCTTTGAGTAGCTAGTTAGCAGTATGTTTTGAGTCATTGTTATGCTGGAAGACCCATCCACGACCCATTCTCAGTGTTCTGGCTGATTTTACATTACATGGCCTCATCCATTACCTAATGTTTCCTCCTCCGTGCATGACTGTGGGCACACAACAAGTCTAAGCAAGAATTGTGGCTGGGTTGTAGGGGATCGAATAGTTATTTCAGGAAATGACAAGCAAATCAATTTATAACCTTTATATAATGCGTTTCTGTTTTCTGGATATTTGGTTAAGATTATCTGTCTCTTCATTAAAAGAGGATTGCATAAAAATGTTCATTTCTTGGTAAGTGAGCAAACTTACAAATTCATCAGTGGATCAAAGTTGATAGTTGGTTAAAAGGAGAAGTACTCCAGATCTCTTGCTTCACAATAGCATCTATCACCACTGTTATCTGCAACTGGCATTCCCACATACGTGTTAAACACAGGACCAGAGCATTGACATTTAGATGAGACTTTAACCATCTGTCTGTTTAATGAATCACACTTAGTGCCAGAATTATTCCATGACAAGTTTTTCAAGATGATCATGTGACCCCAATTTGACATTGCGGTCACACAAACATCGTCTCCCTCTTACGATACAAAGGGAGGCCTAGCAGCCTCCAAATGTACTGCCATAAACATTTCTGACTTAATTTAGATGGATGCAAAAGTGGGGAACAACAAGATGCTTAATCACCGTTATGTCAAACTGAGTTAAAAGCTGGAACAAGCTGATCCAGTGTTGGAACAGTAAGTGAAAGAGCTAATAGCAGGGTGTATCAGAGCTCAGTGGTGTGATGAGAGATAGGAGAGAAAAAAACAGATAAGGCCTTGGCCTGGGGCATCAGCTGTTCTGCAATTCAGGAAGCAGGGGCGCCTTTGGTGCCAGCTTACCCATTTCCCACACAGGAAGTACAAAGACAGTGTCCCTGACTTTGCGCTTTTGTTCTTGTTGCTGTTTATTATTAGTTAGACCTTTCAAGATTTTACTTTTCACGTTTGGTAGCATGCTGTGTCATCTTACCTGGTCTTCACAGGGCTGATCTCTTTGTAGTAGCTGTGCATGTTGTGATAAAAAAGGCCAACAATGGTGGTTTGAGCTGAGGAGAAGAAGACAACACGCGCAGACTGAATGTGAAAGAAATGAGCTGAGGGCCGGGAATGTAAAGCAGTGCTGCTAAAACACTCACAAAGAAGGCAAGTTAATTAACATTGGCTTGCTACAGTGTGGTGGCACCGGCGGGCTAATGGGACAGTCCTATACTCGCACCGGGGTGAAAAGCAAGACTGCCGCAAACCCATGTGGATGTTGGAAAGCTTGTGAAATGTCTAAATGACTTCACCAGGAGAGCTGGGGGTCTGCTCCCCCACCCCTGACTTGACCTATCGTTCAGCTCGGTCCCACCTTAATACTTTAAGATAAACAATGAAATTGGAGGAAATGCTTAATGGCCCTGTTCCTCCTTTCAAAGGCCTTTCACTTGGGAACTGCTCTAGAACAACAAAAGCAGATGTCAAACAATATGGATACGCAACAGAAGACTGTTAATAAATATATAATCCATCCAGTGTTGGGGAATACATGTACCGGCGTTACGTATTTAAAATACAAAATATGAGTAACGGTATTCCGTTACAGTTACTGCTTAAATAGGTGATAATTGGAAATACAGTTACTTTGTTAAAATCAATGGATTACACGGTGGTCTTTTTCTGTTCATATGTTAGGCTATCTCCTCTCTATCTCCTCTCTAATTTTGGTAATTTCACGCCAGTGGAAACCCAAACAAAAAACGCAATAAGAGGCTCTGACCGGAAATCAATCTGACTGCGCAATGCAAACTCTGTTTGTCAGCAACCAAGCTGCTCTCATCTTCAAAAGACTCCAACCTAAAGAAACATCTGGGAGTAAGTTCTTTTTTAAAAACTAAGGTTAGCCTACTGCAGCTATCTTGTTTTAGTTGTAGTAGCTACCTGGGTTATGTGGCACTTCAGTATCTGCGATTGCTGTGTGATGTATTACTATTACTGAAAGCTGCATTACAGCCTGCTAGCTGCAAATAATCGTGTGCAGTTTTGAAAGCAGACAAAAAGAAAACATATTACTGATACAGAAAGAGTTTTCTATGCGAGATCACTGCAAAAAGTGCAGCCTTACCTAAAGTCCACCCTAATGTTACTCATTTTATATTAAGATTTAAAAATCTAGCTGGTATTGTTTTCAGAACTGCATGTGATCGTTTGCAGCTAGCAGGTTGTTAATGCTATCCATCAAGTCTACAGTCTGTGCTCTATGAACTCAGGTAACGCTAGCTAACAATGTTAGCTCGGCGGCAAGTAGCCTTCAGTAATAGTAATAATTCACACAGCATCAGAATATGTTACTCACATCAAGTTAAGAATATGCTTCAAACTACATTTTGGGCCATGTATTCTGTAATCTGTAGTGGAATACATATATATATATTACAACAGAATGCATCCCAGTGAGCCTCAGCAGAGACTGGGCCAGTACACTTGTACAACTCTCCTACAGAAGAGCGAGAGAACAAGAAAAAACAAAACGCAAAATATGCAGCATTTTCTGTTCTTAATTAGAATATAAAATCTGTCCTTGGAGCACTATGGGCAGCCAGGTATTCAGAGTTAATTTGTTCCTGGCTCTAATGTGTTAAGCAATAACATGTATTCCACTTCTGATAATAGCCCTTTAACGAATTATTAAGAGTTCGTTCTGTATGGCAACTCGGTGCATGCGAGAGCCAGGTGGAGCCAAGGGAATCTGACCTAAACACAAAATCAAACAAACAGAGTTTTAATGCCCACTGTAATTACTGCTCTCCCTTGCACCACTACGTGGATCCATTCCTTTTAACGGTGGAGGAAAGTGGAGAAAAAGTGCGCTCTCTCTCATTCTTTCTGTTCTGAATAAAAGGGTAACTGCCAACATTAAAGTCATAGCTGGGTTTCTACAGTACACCATAAAGCCACACAAAAGCTCTCATGGCACTCCTGTCCTTAACTGTATGCCATGTTAGTAGTCCTAAATCTTACGATAATAAATTACCATCCGGTAACAAGAGTCTCCCAGCTGGACAATTTTCTCTTGGCAGAATCAGTGCACGGCTAATGTGAGGTATTCACACTCAAACCCAGCTACTGGTCTGTCTACGCAAAGAATCCTCCGAAAGTTCCTCCTTGCACGTCGATGAGCACCTATCAGTGAACATGCAGAGGCTGTAATGCTAGTACTTACACTCCATTGCAAACGCCTCTCCAGGCACAGAGATGTAGCTCTTGCCTTCTGTGGGGAAGCGGTAATGTGACAGCTCAAAATTCTGTGGGAGTTTCATCAGAGAGTAATCTGCGGAGGTCAGAGGTTAAGAAAAGGGAGAACTGTTGAGAAAAACAAAGTGACAAGCAAGTAACAAGACCGATTTGCATTGTCAGGGGGGAATCACAAACATCAAACGACCCCTTGGGAGAGAGACAGTAATAAAAAATGAGGAAAAAACTCAGGAGAGGAAAAGTGGAGAAGCTTAACTTGTGCTTCTCTGAACAAATGTTGGCCTGACGTGATTACAAAACTAATGATGTCAACTTGAGGCTTGGAGTCCGCAAAAGCTACAAACAATGACTTACTTTATGGAGAACCTGACACTTTACTGACCTGCAACAAAAGATGTTCCATCCAGGGAGATGAGAGAGTTTGGGCTGTCCTCCAGGTTAGTCACTACATGTTCCATCACTCTGTCCACTGTCTTGACCAGTCCGCTGACCACAGGGGTGGACTGCTGCTAGAGAACAATGACCCAACGAGAAAAAGTTGACAACTGATTCACTGTTTCTGATTTTGTTGTTTGTCACGGAGAGTACTGCTCACAGTATAAAAACAGGTGATAGTGTCACCGTCTAGAGTTACACTGTAAACCTGACAAAAAACCTGACAAAAACTTGATAATTCGGTTGGCTCAAACTCACTCTACACTGTATCTACTGTCCAAGTTTGATGTGAACATCTGTTTCAGCTTGCTCTTACAAAAACAAGCAAGGTTGTTCTGAACACCCAGTGTACTGAAACCGCTCTCTTGTGTTTGTGATTTGGCCATAACAATTGCACAGTGGAGGAAGCAAAAATCTTTATAGTCAGTTACGCAGTTTTAAACATCCAGATATCCTCGGTGTGTTACATTAACGTATTCGCCACATTGCATACGTTACATTTCGTCATGTTTGGACACTGCACAACTACAGAGTGAACCCATTTACCTCTGTCAGTCCAGGAAAAGACAGCACTTCTTCCACACTTTTGAGCAAACCCTGGATGGAAGAAAATGAACATCATAGAATTGTTGCATCATATGCGCATGGGTGGGTATTGTATCTGTGTGTATGAATTGGTTTTGCAACAGCAACATGTGTTTTGGACTGTGCTCCAAGACCTGTGTGAGGTTGTTCGCAGTATCACGAGAAATGGTTCCATTGGGCAGCGTCTTCAGGAAACTCTGCACTGGCAAGAAGTCTGTGGGTCGGAGCTCCTCCTGGAGACTGCTGATGACAGGGGGACTCATATCAGCGGCTCTCTGGGGAGACAGCACATCGGGCATCAAATGAAGTTTACTGCCAGGAGCAGCGAGTTCCAGTATACACAGGATGTTTAGTGACTTGATAGCTTGAATTTGGAGAAAACTCTTTGGACCAGAGTTTCAGCATTGGTCTTTTTCAGATTAGTGCCCAACAAGGAGTGTGCTGTAGTGTGCACTGTTGACTGACTCTGCCTACCATCTTCTATTTCTTTATTTGTTTCCTACAAACAAAGCCTTTCGATAAAAAGGTTGCTTCTATTCACATGTGTTATCTATTTGCTTCTTTCCATTTGTCTTTAAAAGGAAACAATGCCTCAACAGGAAATAAACGCTTAGTGTGCATTCAACTAAAAGTCCTTCATTGTTACTTCTTTATTGACTTTCATATGTGTTTTGGCTCAAAGACGCTCTGGTAATAGTTCCCAATGATGTTGAGGTACAGAGATGGGGTTTCATCAGCCACACATTGTAAGAGTACTATATTTTTAACATCCAATAAATTAATCCTAATCTATACCAAAACTGAGAAATTACCGTTGTACAGTATTTGTCAATCTTTTCTTTTCAGCCATTCTGTTGTACATTTGCTGCTGTGCTTGTAATCCTGTTGCACGATCCATTTCGGGTAAAGCTTCTGTCGAACAGTTAGCCTCAAATTTGACTCTAGAACACTTTGGTATACAGAGAAGTTCATGGTCAACTAAAAAATTGCAAGGCACTCCGGTCCTTTGGCTGCAAAACAAGCACAAATCATCACCCCTCCAACACTGTGTTTGCCAATTGGTATGAGGTGTTTGTGCTGATATGCTTTGGTTTTTGCCAAACGTCTCGCTGGGCATTTTTGCCCAAACAACTCCACGTTTATCTTATCTATCTAAAGGATACTGTTCCAGAAGTCTTATGATTAGTTTGCAGCTTTGCAAACCAAAGACAAGCCGCCATGATTTTTTTTTCTTTTTTTAAGAGAAGAGGCTTTCTCCTGGCAGTCCTTCCAAAAAGACATACAGCATTTTTCTAATTGTGTTATCATGAACTTTAACATTTAGCATGCTAACTGAAGCCCATGGATTTGTAGCTCTTGGGGTTTCAAACTGTGAGTAGCTAACAAATGTATTTTGCTAACAAGGAGCTAAAATTACCTTCTGTACAGCTAACAAGATACTGAGTGCTCAGTCATTCTCTGTTACAAAAATAATCTAATTTGTTTAATGATATAAAACCAATTTTATAGGGCTTTAGTTCTCACTGGTATTCTGTGGCGAGACCCTCCTCTACTGTCCCCTCTACTAGGCTTTTATTGTTCAAAGAAACCCTGAGACACTTACGGCCATTGGCGTAGTTGAGATCACTTCCTTGGAGATTCTAGGTGTTGTTTTAGAAACCATGTCCCAAGCTAGAAAAGACAATACAAAGGGTTGAAACAGGACAGGGTATAGCTTAGCATCACCCCTCTCTTTAATCATGGTTTAGTCTAACCTTGCCTTTTTGTGACTTTTTTTTTAGGTCCTTTGTTGAATGCAGCTGGGTCAGGCTGCAGTAGTGTGGCTGGATTTTATCACCTTCAAGCTTACAGTGTGAGTGTAATGCCCGGTCATGAGAGGAGGTATTTTACAGCCTCCGCAAAAGTGGGATACTCCACCACATAATACTCTGCCACTAATTTCTGTACTGGGCTCAAACACATTTTATATATTTGCTGTCATTTAATAAAAACGGCTCTAAGCCGCTACCAGAAAAACACCATATATGGATGTACATTAGACATATTAGTCAGCTCTTCTTTAGTTCAATACAGCATTTTATATGCATGTTCTGCAGAGGTAAAAATATTTCTCTGTAACCACAACAGTCAGGCTCTTCTTGTCGGGTAATAAAGAAATCAAGACTCTCTGGCTTTATCGTGACCACAAAATATTTCTCTGTAGCAGTCTTTATATATCAACACCATACACAAGAGGAGTTCAACTTTACTGATCGGTAAGACTTATCTGCAACCAAAAACGCTTTAACCGTTCAGCTAAAAAGGTACATTTCATTAAGTGCCGAATATTTTTCAGATTAAAATGAAATTTTCTCATATCTTATATTAGAAAATATAATCATAACTATATACTGTAATATAGTTATTATTAATCTCTTGCTCTCTTCCACAGAAAGTCTATCCTGTCTTCCTCCCCTCACCCCCAGCTGATTCTGCTAGAGGTTTCTTCCCGTTAAAAGGGAGGTTTTCCTTCCCAATGTTGCCAAAGCTCATTGTTGTGGTTTTCTCTGTTTTCATATTGTAAGTTTTTACCTTACAATATAAAGCGCCACAAAGCAGAATGTTCATTTTTTTCTACATTCTCGTAAATGCCATTTTGTGTCCTTTTATGGCTCTCTACTGAACAAAAACAGAAAAGCTTCTGGGTGTTGTGTCCTAGCGTGTTGTAACTTGTCACATTATATTAAAATGATTGGCCCCTGCATCTCAACTCAGGTCTTTGCACTCTTATAAATACTTATAAGGCAAAACTATGGAAGCCATGGCACTTGAAGGTCATGAAAATGGTTTCTGCAAGAAGAGCCATTTGACAGTGAGGCAGGCTATATTTGCATGGTTTGATGTGCTTCTGTTAAGCATGAATTCTGTGGATGGAATGTAGCATGGATAAAGATGGAAATTGCTTTTTAACCCATGATTTCCTCAGAGAAAAGCCAAAAGGGAGGAAGCATTTTAATAAATCAGCATCTTCAAAAATGTCAGGAGGTTTTTTTTAATAGTAGACAGGTCCTACCTATAGTTGCATTGTAGTAGAGTGAGATGTTCTCAGGTGAAAGGGCCCTTTCCCAGATGACGAATTCATCAAAGGCTCCTGTTACATAGTGACTATATCCCTTATTGTTGGCAGTTCCAATGACGAGGTCAGGGTAGGGGTCTCCATAGGTTTCCTCTGAGATGCTTCCGTTTTTGTTCTCAGCAGTTAGGGTCGCATTGATGTAGACCTTCAGGCCATCTTTCTTAGTCCATGTAAAGAGGATGTGGGTCCAGTATGGCCCTAATAACGTAAACATAAAATGAAAGAAACGCTCAATTGTTGAAGAATTGAATCCACCCCTCCCTGAGTCTGATTCTGCCAGAGCTTTCTTCCTGTTTAAAGGAAGTTTTTTCTTTCCCATTGTTGCCAAGTGCTTGCTCACAGGGGGTTACCTGATTGTTGGGATTTCTTTATAATGTTTTAGGTATTGTAGCTTTTCATGTGTGAATACGTTTAGCGGGAAAATACACTGAGTGTGTGGTGTTGCAAATGTTCTCAGTCATTGGTCGCCTTTTTAAAGCGACTGATATTGCAGACACCATGTTTCATGCTTGGTTTAACCCAGAAAGTAAACGATGACGTGTACTCAATGCACGTCAATGCCAATGCACAGTAGCTTTCATCAAATGAAACTCACACTGATATTTGCTGGTTCTAGCTTTTTAAATTTAATATTTGTTTTTTAAATTGTGTCTTTTTGCCCGTCTCCCTCCCCTCATCCCAAACCAGTCACGGCAGATAGCTGTCCCTCATTGCACCTGGTTCTGCTCAAGCTTTCTTCCTGTTAAAAGGGAGTTTTTCATTCCCGCTGTCACCAGGTGCTTTGCAAATTTGAACTCATGGATGCATCGGAGAGCAGCCAGGGATCGACCCGCAAGCCTTCCAGATTGTAGGTGACCTGTTCTACTACCCGAGAATATAAAAACAATATTGGCTTGAACTGAATAGAATTTGTGTGTGTCTTAAACACAAGTTCCTAGCCGTGCTAACAGCTATGTGAGGCTGAACATAGATACATGGCTTTTGTGAGATAGCCTATTAAGTTCAGAAAGATGCTGGGTTAGTTTAGCAAGAATAGTTAGAATAGCAAGAACACTACACAATTTTACATTTTGACCAGCTGTTGGCGCTGTCTTATGCGAAGAACCAAAACTCAACTAACATTAAGCGCCTTGAGGCGACTGTTGTTGTGATTTGGCACTTTATAAATAAAGCAGAACTGAATTGAATTAACTCTGTCAACCAAAATGTTTGATTTTTCCATTAATTAATCGAGCTTAATCTTTTGACTGATTTAGTAATTTATTACTCCTTCAGTTCCAGATGCTAGATTTTATGGTTTGCACAAACCAAAAACTCCAGCCAATATTTACAATGAATTGTGCATCACAAGAACAGAGAAATTAATAAACAATAGAGAAGTCCCAAAAGACAATGCCTTCCCCGTCACACATGCCAGACAGCCAAAACCATTTGTGTCATTTGTGGTTGCAATATAAGCAGTACTGGATGTACCAAAGACCAAGCTCAGCTTGCAAGTCTCTCATTCACTTCTAAATGTACATTTTTATATTATTAACTTTCACCTTACAATCACACACTGGGTCACACAGGCCCTGGAGTCTTACTCATTCACCCACAAAAACCTTTTCTCCCAAATCAGAAGAAAGAGAAGTGACATATTTTGACATTATGTCCCCAAGGCTCAACATGTCATTGTATGAGAACCAGATGACGTTTGGATCTTTATAACCGAACACTAGCATCAAAATTGAGTTACGACCAAGACCTTGAGTAACTGCAGGAAAAACAAGGATGACACAAGTCATTTGAGAAGAGAATAGCGATTGGTAAAAGTTTCACGTAATGTTGAATCTCACATGGTTTATTTCATTTTGTCAACTGTTTACAGTATCAGCCCATCTCATGAAAAAAAAGAAAAGAAAGTAATTTCATTTTCAGAAATTAATTCAAAATATTGGTCACACTCTGACTTTTATTGTGTTTCATATCTCATCTAACTTGACACCAAAACTAAACACCGAACATCATTTTGCACATGTTGTCTGCCATCTCCAAAAAATTGTATGTTTAGTGCTACAGCAAAAGATTTGAGAAATCTACCCCCATCTTTGCCAAATCAACTGTCCGTAGTTACATCTGGTCTCAGTTAACAAAGTCATGAATGCAATTATATAACCATTAGTTTATGGTGTGTTCAAGACCAAAATAGATTCCTTGTGGGAAATGTAACTATGTGAAAGGAAATGTATTAAGCGTACCTGGAACGTCGATGTTGGCCCGCCATCTGTGCTTGTTGCTACGAGTGTAAAACTCCACATATCCTCCTAAAGGGTTTGTGTAGACTGAGAAGCCATTGGAGATAACTTTTCCTCCAGAAGCGACAGCAAAGCGGGAGGCTGACTCGTGGTTTTTCCAAAAAAAGGAGAAGGTAATGCCTAGGGGATGATGAAAACCCAGCAGCCGTCAGTACAGTAACTGAACAGTTTTACAAGCTAAACGATAACTTGTTCAATTATAGATTAAGTGCAGTGCACTCACCCTCAGGACCACATAAATTAGGGTCACTAATGCACGTGTTCTGGTAGTTTCCAAAGTGAAGAAAGGTGCCACCGTTATCTCCATTCAGAAAGATGCCCTTGTTGACCATTCCTTCAACAATGTCTGGGAAAAGCACAATTTAGAGGAAAAATTTCATTTAAAAACAGGAAGGTGTTGTAACCGTTTAAGTGACTTTATGGTCATCTAACCACACGCTGTTTTGCATGATGAACATAAAGATTTTGCAGCTTTACTTGCATCTCATGTCAGAAGCCAGTCAATAAGTCTCCTACTTGACTTCAGGTTTATTTAATGTTAAAGAACAATCCCTTATCATCAACATACCAAGAAGTCCTCATTTCAGTCTGCAAGAACCGAAGACTGAATGGGGAGAAAAGTGTGGAGGGCTCAGCTCAACCGTGTGGCAATACAGAGGGAACAACAGAAGGCAGTGGGTGATGCACAAATGATTTTCAGTGAGAGGAAAAGTGATGGATCCTCACCTAGTATTGCAGAAATGTTAGTGTAGGCAGAGTCATTGTACACATAGGAAGAATTATGGGAAGAAGGGAGCACAGTGTGGTTGTGGATTCTGATAGCTGGACAAAAACAACAGAGACAAAAAAAAAAGTGATTCACACCAATACGGACAAAAACACAGAAGACAGAACAGTGAAAGGAAAGCAATGGGAGGGACGTGATGCACAGGTATGAGACAGAGTGATGGTGACCAGCGTGCGAGGTGGCAGTGGTCAAAGAAAACTCAGTGTGACTTCACACATCATGCCCAAGTCTATACCCGATCCCTCTTTAACTTTAATCTTTCACTGAATGAGGAATCTACAACACTGCTGCAAATGATATTTAATTAAAAATTAGGCAAATGTCATCTCCAAACTATAGATTTTTGTAAACGATGTACTGCAGCATTTTTAAATCCTATTTTTTTTTAATTGACTGTAATTTCACTCATAAATCTGGCATTAAAATTAAAATCATATAACTTTGGCTGGAAGATGGGTGGTAAAAATACATTTAAATCGAACAGGTGTTTTCATATTCACATACTTATGTTGCTTCCGTTAATATAACCTGATCTGTTTCCATTATGATCCCACAGTTCATGGATTCCTTCCACTGCATCCAGCGGCCAGTAATGCGAGGCCGTGTCCAACACCTCCAGGCCTGGATGAATAAGTCAAGCATAAACAGGCATCCAGAAAGGGCTTTTCATCCAATCAAGCACTGCCTCATTAATCAGAATTTATTTTCCCAGAACTACATTTTGGGTTTGGGGTGGATTAAAAAGACAGTGATGATAATAATGATGCAAACAACTGGAAAAAGTTGTTTATGCAGCAGACTATTTTGATTAAGCAGAAGAAGTAAACAAAGCAATAACATCCTCTGGCATGGAAATTAGCAGATGGTAAAACAGGATCTTACAAATTATTTATTTATTTCTTTTTTCATTTTTAATCTAGCAACTGAAAACACAGGGAAATTGTCAGTCCAGAAATTTCTTACTACCTGGATGCTTCTGAGCTTGCGCCACTTGAGCATAAACCTGTTAAGAAATTAAAAATAACTTATAAAGTCTGCAGTGCACAGTTCGTTCTGCTACATGGGAGGAATTGCTAGTGATTTTCATCATGATGTGCCTTTTTTAAGTTTACCTTAATAAAGGAGACAAAAGCTGTAAAAATGCGAATCCGCAAACAAAATGCCATAGTCTCTGCAAAATATAACATTAAATCTCTGAAACAACTTAATTCCACGGGTGAAGATGAATCCAATAAGCACCGCTCATTGTACCAATAGAATAAAAATAAAACTTCGGATCAGTCCATTTGTCCAAGGTTAGAAATACCCAAAGAAAATAAATAGAAGCACTGACTCAATAAAGCATTCAATTTAGAGTTGTGGCATGAGGCCGAAAAACTTCAGAAGTTGTCCTTTCATGATAAAAACTGAAGCCCAACTCCAGAAAATTGTAATCTTTAATATTTATCCGAAAATTTAAAAAGCCGTTTTCTTAGAATTTCTCTGCCTGCATCTGGGAGCCTCAATGAGTACAGGAGCTCCGCTGAGCTGTGTTGGGCTGCTGCTGGACTGAACGTGGGAATTGCAAAACGTGAAGTCATTTTCTTTGGATCTTCTAAGAAGGGGCGGTAAAGTTTGTGCGTAAAAGGCGTTACTTGTGCGTAATTGGAGATTGCACGGGAAGTGAGATCAGGGTGTGCACCGTGTGATCCACAGATGCACATCTGAGTTTGTATTCAAAATATTTGTAAATAGCATACGGTTTTAAAGACGTTTCGAGCAAGCTTCTTCCGACAACTGGTGGAGAGTCGCGTTGTCTAGCTTTTTTGTTTCTTTTCAAGCTCTGAAGACTACAATAACCTGGATGACTGAGTAGCTAGACAAACAGCATGCAAAACCTTACCAGGAATAATAGGAATACGCTGAGTGCTATCTGCGAAGTTGCACAGATATGCCTAGATATGTGGGAAAGGAGCAGAAACCCCTTTTAAAAACAAATTGAGTTACAGTTAAACCACACACACACACACACACACACACACACACACACACTAAAGTATGAAAGTTCTGTAAATAAGATCAGTATTAAAGAAGAACTCAAAGCACTCCAAGTGGAAACATAAAACAAGACCTATGTTGTTGTCAGATGAGAAGTGGGCCCTTGTTTGACTTTTGGCTCGGTAATTTCGGTTTGTGAAATGCGTAATGAGAGTTGGGCATTTAGAGTTTGGATGGCATCCACATATGGGGAAGTCATCAGGAGTCCCGTCGAAGGCTCCAAAAGTCGATTTACGCGGGTAAACAGCGCCACTGTGTGGCCAGGTGAATAATAGCTTAGCGGCCATCCAGCAGCGCTTATATATTATTTATAAAAAACCTTTTCATGTAACCGCAAACTGTTGTTGCTGTCTAAAAAAAATTAAATAAAGAAAACAAATTGATATTAAAAAAATCGATTTACAATAAACTCAGAAATGCCACAAAAGATTAAAGTCTGACAATGGTACCTCAAATAGTTTCAGATTTGTGTAATAGTTCTACCAAGTTCAGCCCTTTTGAAATATGATTGCAGCCATTTAGTTTATTTATCATAAAGTTCAAATGTGATTAAGGGAGGACCAGATTCTCCATCAACGTCATCTGAGAGAGAGAGAGAGAGACCTCACAGAGAGAGAGAGAGAGAGAGAGAGAGAGGCGTATCCCGGGGAGAGGGATATTACTGTGGATCTATTACGGATCCGATGCACTTGTTGAGCGGGGAATATCGGCAGAGTTGAAACAGGAACAGCCCTTTCTGGGTTTATTTCTGAGTTGTGTCTTGGACCCAGTTTTGATCAAACAAAGCTCGACCTGTGGCACTGACTTCCTATTTCTGCGACTGGCATCTCACAACTTCGTGGGCCTGGATCTCAGAGATTAAACTAAATCTATTTTTATTAGCCACCTGGACCCGACTGCGCGGCAATGTTCCTCTCCACATGGAGATGTACAGGATAGAGCCAGCATATGCTTTACAACTAGCTGAGCGGGAGACGAGCTGACCGGTGTGATGAAGGATCGACTGGCTGAACTGACCGCTGTAAGTGTTTTTGTTTTAGCTTCAACTTCGTGGATCGTGACATGAAATAGCCTGGCGGCATTAAAAAAAAGGTCACTCAAACACATTTTCATCCTCGTAGGCCGCTTCACAAACAGAAGAGGATGTTGCAGTTACAGTTAACCAAGATGGATTCATGGATAGCTTTTTCAGAAGGGTGTGTACTACTGTGACTTCCAGAATGTGTATTAAGACTAAAAGCAATAATAATTGAGGACACTGATGGATTCTTGGCTTATTTATCGGCTGGTGTAGGTGGAAGAAGTCAGAGGAGTCATCGATAAGATCTCCATACAAGTGGAAGAATTGAGGAAGATCCACAGCATGATCCTGTCGGCACCCAACACAGATGACAGTAAGTGTGGGTCGTTTAGGATGTTAACATCCTTTAGGTTTTTTTTAATTGGTTTATTTTTAGAAATGCATGGATGGAAGTAGTCTTTTTGGGCACAGAGTCAACGTGCTTCAGATGTCTTCCTTCCTTAGTTGCGATGAATGGCCGGCAGACCGGAAACCTGTGAAGGAAGTAGCACTCAAATTTGCATCAAACCTGACAAACTACTGTGAGATTCAGGACCTAATCAGGGATTTAAACATGCTGTTTTACTAAAAAAATAATTTCTACAAATTCCAAATGGTTTTAAATTATGACTGATCCTTTAATTAGATCCAAATCAGTGTCTAGCCTTCTTTACTGTGTGAGTGGAAAATCTGGTCACAGGATAACTCAGTTTACTTTGCCATGGAATCAGTTAATGTAGTTCATAACAGTGTCCATGACGTGGAAATTGTCCTTTATTTTGTAACCTCTCCATTATTGCCTCGGGGTCGTTGCCAAGTGACCAGCTGAAATCAGAGCAGATCAAATATTTGGATTACCTGGATGACGACTTTTCTTCTAAACAAACTCAAATCTAACACATCTCCTGTTTGTGTGCGAAGGAACAAAGGATCAGCTGGCTGCACTCACCAATGATATCAAAGGGAATGCCAATGTGGTGCGAACCAAACTAAAATGTGAGTTCAGCTGTCGTCCACATTTCTTTCATGTGTTTCAAATTGTGTAACAATGTCATTTTTACTTTTTTTTTTCACAGCCATTGAGCTGAGCATGCCCAAAGACGATGCTGCTAACAGGGCCTCCGTAGACTTCAGGATCCAGAAAACACAGGTCACGATCTCCTCACACACGCACACTTATCACATACCTGATCACACGACGACCCAAGCACTACTCTGTCAGCTGTATGCAGAACTTCATACAGATAAAAGCTGTTTTGTTTTTATTATAAATAAATCCAGACAAAATAACTTCTGACTATCCAGCTCTCAGCTTTACTTCTGTATTTTGTTGATGGTATATTTCTCTAGTTTAAGAGCAAAAACTGTATCATAACCTTCCAACACTTCCAACGTGTACTTTGTATCTTGTACTTCTGAATTATAAGGTATTAAGTCTTAAAACTTTGCAGGGTGACATGATGGTCCAGCTGTTAACCGTGTTGCCTCACAGCAAGAGAGAGCTGGATTTAAATCCGGTCTGGGTACTCTGGCCTCCCACAGTCCAAAGAAATGCACTGGGTTAGATGGACTGTTTCTAAATGGGCTGCAGGTGTGAACATAAGGGTGAATGGTTTTCTCTATATGTGTTACCTCTGTGGCAGATTACTCTGCCGCTCCCCTTAAAACAGCTGGGATAGGCAACCCTGAGCTGGATAAGCAGAAGTCTGGAAAGCCTGCAGCACATTATCACTTTGTGTCCCTGTGTTTTTGTCCTCAGCACACTGTGCTCTCCAGGAAGTTTGTGGAGGTCATGACCCAGTACAACGAGACTCAAGTGTCCTTTAGGGAAAGAAGCAAAGGAAGAATCCAGAGACAGCTGGAGATAAGTGAGTGACAAATAATTGTACTCCTGTATCTGAATAAGCCCAGGAATAATGGGCTACATTAACTACCAATGGATGACCATACAGGACTTGAAATTAATTACACTTTCAATTCTTTTGACAAATTTCAAAAAGTAGTGCTAAAAGGGCGACAAAAGAAGTAAAACCCTCAAGCTGTGTTAGGGCAGGATCCAGGAAACAGACCGCACCAGCTTCCTCTCTGCTTCTCTGGACACCAGCCTTAGTGCTGATAAACAGAGAAGAGCAATAGCATAGGGTTTCTGCAACGCCCAGACAATAAATTTCCAGTGTTTTGGAAAGAAATGTACTAAAAATGGTTCCCGTATTAGCAACATATAACGTAGTCTCATTAACAAATATTCTATATCAGATAGAAATGATTGTTTAGGTACAATAAGATTCATATTTGTTATAACTCCAGATTTGTAATTTGCTTTCTGCTTATTGTGTTAAGTCCTCGCTGTTCAGTATCCCTGTAACAAACAGGCAGATCCATTGTATTAAGTATATGTGAGTAACAATAGTGAAAAGCAAAAAATAAAAAAGGGTTGACTCCCAGAGCCAGTCCCTGCGGCCGGCATTAATGAGAGGCTCTAGTTCTGCAGACGGGCGAGCCTGATACTGGAGACGCCTCTCTGTGTTTGCGTTGCCCGGGATACGAGCAGAGCACTCAGCGGCCTGTGCAACAGTAGTTCACCTGTCTTTGACCAGACTCAGTTTGTGCTGTCGCCAAACACCAATAACTGACACCGTTCACAAGTAAAAGCCTTGATGTGTAGCGATGAGCTGAGCGCGTGGTGTGTTTTGCTTTGAGTGTCTCTCTGAGGAACAGCCACCGATAAAGGTGTGTGATATACAGTAAGCACCTGCACAGCGGTCTCTCTCTCTCCAGGGAGAGTACTTTACAACAGGAGGCATGGTTGCAGTAAAAGAAAGCCCTCTGTTTGTAGAGATTGTTTCAGGAGCTTTTGGGGGGTGGGGTTTGTAGATTTCGGTACCTCTTATGCAACCCTTTGGCATGAATCCACTGACAGCTGCAGCAGGCAGAGATGGGGCAAAAGAAATAAAATATATTCAGAGGGATTCTTCCTCAGTTCCATAATGACATCAAATGAAGGCATATTACTTTCATGGGTGGGAGCAAATACACATGGTCCAAAACAGTCACTTTTGTTAGGAATGCCAAAACTTATGAATCAAATAAAACTGCCAGACAATTTTGAATTCTTTGTTTATTTGTTTAATTCTAGCTGGAAGAGTGACCACCAATGAAGAACTAGAAGACATGTTAGAAAGTGGAAATCCATCCATCTTCACCTCTGATGTACGGTTTCTCCAGCATTAATGTGCTTGCTTGGTAAAATGCCACGACTGCCATCTAGTGGCTGATGAGTAAATCTTTTTTGCAGTTGGGGTTGTGTGCCGATGGGGTGATTTTGGATTTTTGAAGGTATTAAATCTTTCTCCCTCAGATCATTTCTGATTCCCAAATCACACGGCAAGCCGTGAACGAGATAGAGTCACGGCACCAGGACATCATGCGCTTGGAGACGAGCATCAGGGAGCTCCATGCGATGTTCATGGACATGGCAATGCTGGTAGAAACTCAGGTAAGAGCCTCATCTGAGTGGAAACTTTCACAAGCAGATCTGTTGATTTTTCTTTTAAAACTTGTTTCTAATATTGTCTACTAGGTATATTAGAATGGAGCTCATAGCACAAATACCAGTATCAAGTCAGAGGTGTAAAACATAAGGCTTGTGGCCACTAAGACTTGTCCAGCAAGGAGGTGTACCCCCCCTCCCCCCCAAACTGTCATTCACTATTTACAAAATTAAAGGACATAAAGTTCCTGTTTTTCCACTACTATAGAAATTACTGCTTAAGATCAAAGTGGCCTGTATGTGATCCAGGATGTGAAATAGGTTTGACATCCCGGCCATAAATAAAAGCATCTGCATTCATTTACAGGGGGATATGGTTAACAACATTGAGAAGAACGTCTCTAATGCAGCTGAATACATTTGTCGTGCAAAGGAAGAGACCAAAAAAGCAGTCAGGTACCAGAAGAAATCCCGGAGGGTATGTGCTCCTTTCTGGTTCTTTCTTGATGCAATTTAAAAAATATAAATCTTTGTAAAGGTAAATTTGATATAAGATCGTGGTCTAAGCATTATTTCTTTTCATTCATGAACTTTAAATAACACCGTCTTCCTCTTCACTTGCCAGAAATACATTATTCTTGCCTTTGCTCTGTTGATCCTGCTTGCTGTTATTGCACTAATTGTCGGCCTGTCTGTCGGACTAACCAAACCCCCTGCATGAGACCTGCTGTGAGGTAACAACACTTCCACACCCACAACTTCCTTTTCTTGAGCCAAACATCCATCTCTTAATTTATGAATCTATTTTATATATTATGTTCATCTGCCGAATGCTTCACTGGATCTGCGGTTTCTCATATGCAGCCAGTTCCTCTGACTACTCCTTTCTCCTGTTTTGACAGAAGCTTCTCTACCTTGCCATGTGTGGAGGTTTCATACTTTTACTCATCATAATAGTCGGAGTCTTTGAGTAATGAATTCCATCGTGTGCAGTTCCACAGCAGTCAGAAGTGATGAAACTTTTACAAACTTCATAATAGGACTGTCAGCCTCTATCCAGCAGGACGGATGTCTTGAGCAGAACTTTTCCCCCATTATTGTTATTATTTTTAAAAAAAACAATGACTCCTGATAACAACCAACTGACAGCTGATATTTGGAATTGATACATTTTTACGGTAAAAGAAAGTTTTAATGTTTACATCACTTCACTACATATGAAAAAAGCAGATCTGGCATATTTACATGATGGACACAAGTGTTGGTGTTAATTAATACCTTTTCTTAATTAAAAGAAAAAATAATCAAAGCCTAAAGCTTAGCAGCAGATGTGTATATAGATATAGATCTGTTTGTCTCATCTTCCCAGTACCCCTGCTATTCTTCAATGTTTTTTTATTTTATTTTAATTTTTCGCTTTTTTAGCAATTTAATCACTCACTAAAGACAACATCTTAAAGTATTAATTGTTACTGTTTTATGGCAGTTAGGGCGTGTCTGTCCAATTAGAAGCATGAATTCCTTCCCGTGGTCAGCAGAGTCCAGTGCAACAGATCTTGGTGGGGAAAATATTCCTCGGCTCCTTAACACTTTCCTTTGGAGTTAATGGCCTCAGTCGCCAGTTTCATGCCTTAGTGAAAACATGGTGCTTATATTTGATGATAAAATAAAATATTTTTTTAAAATTTAAGTTGGGATAAAATGTAAAAATAAAAGCAGAATGTAATTATTCAAAAGCAAATCCTCATATTTCATTACTATAGAACACAGAAAACATATCAAATGTTTAAGCTGAAAAAAATTTATGAAACATTAAAGCATTCTTTATTCTGAAATTGTTCCATAATTGGTCTTGCAAATTGGTGAGCCTGAAATTACTCTGAAATTTGTTCCTATTTTTGATGAGTTTTAAGGATGAAGACTGAATTCAATAAAACTGGAATAGAGGTGGGCATACTTGTCATAACAGAAGTAGGTTGTAAGATTGTGGGAAGTACCACTTCAAGGATATCTGCTATTCTACCTTCAAAACACAGCTCATCTAGCTACTGGTCAGCTCCAGTCTGTGTGTACTTTACTGTGCCAGAATAGCCTTTAGTTTTGATTGTTTGTTATATGCATGTAACTAATCGGATGTGATTGGGACATTGCTCTAGGTCACAGAGTAGTGGTCCAGCAGTAGTCTGTTTTGTGTGGTTCTAAAGTTTCAAGGTTTATATTTTGACTGCAAAAATATATCAATTCTTCTTAACTGTAAAACATCATAATTGCTATCAGCCCTGAACAAAGACGCAACAGTCAACACACAGAACCAGTTACAATAGACACAACAACATCGGCCTCTGTGTTATGCTGAAGTAGAGCACGTCTGTTCAATACAGCAGATTACTGTTGTTCTATGTTGCTGTTAAATAGATTTTTTTGTGCTGAAGAAACAGTTTGACATTTTGGGAAATGATTTGGGTGCTTGTTGAGGGTTCGATTAAAGGATTAAGTATAACTTGCATGTTTAAAGTAATAAACATGCCATATACACTTTTTCTTTTACCCAGGCTAGGATAGCTGCTAGCTGCTGCTTCACATTAAACACAGACTTGAGAGCATATCATTCTTTTATCATAATTTAATAAAGCTACAACAACTGCCCAGGCAGTGGTGCACTGGTTAGCACTGTTGCCTTGCAGAAAGAAGGTCCTGGGTTCAGGTCTACCAGCTAGCTGGGGCCTTTCTGTGTGGAGTTCACATGTTATCTCTAGGTACTCCCACAGACACACGTGGGGTTTGTTTAACTGACTGTAGATGAATGGCTGTCTCTCTCCAAGTGCTAGTTTGGCACCATGTCCCAGCTGTGTACCCTGAATTGGGTAAGCTGATGCATGTCACAATTTTATCAAACTGCTGCTTTAGTGTCAAAACATGTGACCAGCTCACTTCTCTGTACACTGACGGCATACTTTGTGTTTACATGTTCAAGTATGTGCTTTATCCTTTTCACCTGTTGTGTATATATAATGTTATTTGTGTGATGTGAATGTTAAACTACTACAGCTCAGGAGACCTTTAGGAATTTCATGTAGTAACATAGAATCCACTGTTATACTGTAAATGTGCCTTCTTGACATTTTAATATGAAACCTTAACCTTAAGTGCATTTGTCACAGCTACTGAGTGTGATGACTGAAATACTGCTGTGAAAAGAGTCATGCAGTAATGTAAGACTCTTGGAAGAATATTTCAGGAACACACATTTTTATTTTGATACCTTTTTGTTTTTTGCTTGATTTTTGTATTTTTTACTGAAAAAACAGATATTAACTAATGCAATAAATAAAAAATCCAGAATGAAAAGTCCTGTCCTTGTTTATTTTCTTAAAAACTTCTTAGTTAAATATACAGGGGCTATCCAGATATTTAAAATAATAAATAAATAAAATCTCTGACTATTCAAGACAAAATTAGGGGTATTTTGCCTGCTCTAATAACACTTCAAACATTTGGAGGTTCAGTTTGTTTAAAAGAAGCGGAAAGAAACAGAGGCTGCTGTTTACTTCTGGCCTAATGAGTGCTTTGCACAAAGCACTTGTCTTCTGTGTAATCAACCAAACAAGATTAGTTAGGAAAGTGGAAGTGAGTCCCTGGAGGGCAAGGTCTTTTTTCCCTTTCCTCTCTTTTTCTCTCCTTTGACTTAGATCAAAGGCTCTTTCAGAGGTGTACTTTGAATGAAATATCACAGAATGTCCTTAAATATGAGCTCTGGGACTCCCCCCCCCAAGTATTCATCCTACATGTCAAATCAGGGGACATTAAGAGCTGTGATTTAACTTGGTCACAGCAGTTGGTTCAGATGAGTAATTTCTGTGGCAATACGTCGATGTTAAAGCATGGTGAGTGATAACAAAGTGTATTTTGTGCATTGACTAATTATTTGGGTTAGTGCCTTTTCAAATTTTGAATAATAGTTTACTGTTAGTCATTAGTGGGAAATCTCCCACGTTCCACAGAATAGATTGAGAATTGTAAGCAGCCATCTGTCAGTTTGAAAGAGAAATTATACAAATATGAACATTTTGTGAACTATAAATAAGAGATATTTAAACTTCTTAGTGACTCACCACAGGTGGTGATCATCTTCCATCACTGGTCAGGAGTGCTAAAGAAATATATTAAACTGCCCTGTTACTGCAATTTTCTGTCAATAAAGGTAATACTCTGTTCTTACTCTGCTGTGGTCAGTGTTATTCACCAGCAGAGTCTGATCAAATATCGATAGCATTGATACCAGTCTTGGTATTGGTATCAGACTGATACTAGCGCGATAGGCTCGAAGTTCAAAAGTCTTGGTATCAGCAATACTGGCCCTGTATTTACTTGGTATCTGTACTAAATTTGCAGTATGGCACAGCAATACTTACAAGTCTCCTCAACTGTGCTAAATGTATTACTTTACACATAAAATAATTTATTTTAAGTGCTTGTATTACTTACATCATAGTCCCTACTGATCTGTAACGATGAGTAGCGATTGGCTGGAATAAGTATCCTCAACTACCAGACAAACTTTTCTTGACTTTGATGAAGGTGAAGCTTGAGGGGCGTGTTGAGATCAACATTTTGTAAGAGTGGATTATAAACAAGCCAGAATAATTCAGAGTTGTGTGATAGGTTGTATCAACTGCCTATGTGAAGTGATGGTATGTGAGATAAAGTGGAGTTGTTAAATGGACAGTCAGTTTTGCTGAGAATACAGTTGAAATTCATTTAATTTCAGTGTTATTTATAGTGTTAGCTCACTAGCCACTGGATGTGATGAAAGTGCAGGGGGATTAAAGAAAACAACAGCAGTGAGGTTTGACCTCTGCCATGAGTGAAAGCTGGAAATATCAGTCAAAATAGAAATCAATATGCCAAATGGAGAACAACTTAGCTTAATGCTACTAGTCAAATGCAACAGGGCTGGAGCACTGGTTCATTTTCTTTCACCAGCCTCCCTTGCTATTGGTGCATGTAGCTTTGTGTTTGCTAATCTGCGTGGAGAGAAAGTACAGTGTTTGAAGTTCAAATGTCCCAGTTTTACACTGGGACCTGAAAGCAGCTCACATTTGTGGATCTGTGCGAGGTTGGCCCCGTTAAATTAGTCTCAAACTTGATCTGTTCGTACCGAGCGATTCGTTCGCACGTATTTAAGGTTTTGTGAGCAAGCGAGCGAGAAGTTACGTGTAGTTTTAGACATTCGTACGCACAGCAATGTTTTCTAAAGGTAAAATTATCTGATTCGCGAGCTGACCTTAAAAAATGCGCGCAAGCGACCAGTATTTCAGGTTTGGATGTACGTACACTTGTAAAATGATTTCACGTGTGGTTTGATTGCTTTGCATTTGTCAGTCCTCAAAAATTACAAATCATTGCACACATTTGTAAATATTAGGTTATGGTCGTGGATCATATCGTACGCTTTTGCAACCTTTTTGAGTTTGGCTTAAGCAAGAGTGGCCAGAAGACTCCAGCTCTGTGGGTTGGTATGACGTCAAATTTAAGAAAGAGTGCGACATGATTCCCAAAGAGCAATCAGCTTGGCATGTCTCAGCACTGGATGCAGTGTGTTCTTAAAATATTTGAGGAAGCTGGACATGTGCAAGACAGAAACCTAAAGTAGCAAGGCTAAAAAGTTATCCACTGCAGCTGAGCAGTTTCTCTAATTCATGTCTTTAAGAAAGCGTTAAAAATGCAGGAAGAATTTGACACAGGACCTGAGCAATGCTTCTGACCCTTCAGTTGATTCATCTGCTGCTCAGTGAAGCCTCATCAGAAATGATCTCAGTGGAAGGGTTGCTGTCAAGAAGCCATTATTAAGGAAAAGAAACAGGGAGAAAAGTCAGAGGTAAGTACATAAGAACCAAAGTCAGTGGCAAGAGGTCTTATGGAGTAATTCATCCAAATTTTAGTTCAAATCATTAAAATGTACAGAGGAGATCAGGTGAGTGACAGTGAGTGTCTACAGCCACAGTGGAGGTGCTGTCATCAATTAGGGCTGTGTTTCAGCCAGTGGTGTTGGGGATGTGGTCAAAATTAATGGAATTATGGAGGTATAATAGTACCGTTAGATTTTAATCCACCATACAATATGCCCCAAATACTCTGCCAATGTGGTAAAAGCATACCTGGATAGACAAACACACAATTTAACACTATCAGCCATGGATTGGCCTCCCCAGAGCCTGCACTTCAATATTATTAAAGCAGTGTGGGATCATCTTGACAGAGGACAGAAAAAAAAGGCAGAAACACCCAAAGAAGAGCTTTGAATGTACTGCAAAACCTGCGAACTCTTCCTGAGGACTGTTTAATGTATTTAGAGAGTTCAGGCTGTGCTGAAGAATAAAGGTGTTCATGCCAAATACAGATTTTTAAATTCATTAGAATTATGTAAATTTTGTTTGTGTCTTATATATTGTATTTCCATGTATGTTTGCACATGTTTGAATAAATCACTGCATCTATTTCCCATTTTCCTGGAAAAAAATAAAGAAATCAAAGGTGGCTCAAGTCTTTTGCACAGCACTGTCGTTCAGTATATTAGAGTCTAACTGGAATTGGAGCTGTCAGGGAAGGAGAAGTCCACAGCTAATAAGTCTACTCTGGGTCTGGAACACGCTGGTCTAGATGACACAGTGGAAACTGTGCAGTAACTCATGACCGTTAGACTTCAGGGTGTACTTAGTCTGGAGTCTCATTAAGGTTCACAGCTGCTGTAAATCACAATTTTAGTTTGAGAAAAGCATGAATTTTAAACTGTAGCCTAATGCAGCATACACTCTAAAATAAAATTGAGCTTAATATTTTTTTTATGATTTCCACAGTTAATATTTAAAGCCTTTAACACTTTCTATGTGCATTTAATAAGAGGAAATGCATATAAATATATTAACTCGACTTTTCAATTACAGAGGTGTAGTTTTATGCATTTTGCATTTCCTGTGGCAGCTGTGTCATCTTTTCTGTCTGTGTGTACTAACAATAATCCAAATCCATTATTATGTAACTCTGTTGAATACAGATATTTATAATCTGAACATGCTGGAGATCATCATCCGTCGCTGCTGACCATGACAAGCACTTGGGGAAGCATGCAAACTGTTCTGTCATGGTAGGTTATTGCTTGTACCAAGCAAGAGATGAAATGTGACTGATGCAAGGCTTTGCTTGACATCTATTTTTCCATTTGGCAGGGGACGATGGGTTGCCATAAGACTTGCAAGGTGGAGAAACTCCTGAGACAGTCTCAACGGGAAGTAGTGTGGAGCCAGAGACAAACGCTAGCCAGAGCAAAGAAGAACAGCTGGGTGAGAGGCACGGATAAAGTGAGTGTGGCGTGCTGTTTGAGTGTGTGCTGGTTGCTAAGCTTTCAGTGAATAAGATTTAACAGTGTCTGGACACTGTGTGGATCAGAATTTGTTGATGCCTGCAGCCATAATCTGACCTCATCCCGCGCTCCTCAAACAAGATTCTTGACTGCCACTGAGGTTATTATTAACAAACTCAGCCATATGCACCTCTTAATAATCGTCTTGCCTCATATATTTAGCTATTAAATTAACAACATAACAGCGTAAGTAGTCCTTGCTGCTCATTAAATAGACTTAAACTGGATAGCTACAGTTAGGTCCATTAATATTTGTTTTGTACACCACCATATAGCTTTTAACTTTAAAAATCAATGTGAATGGAATTGAATTACAGTTTTTCTAAACAGCATGATGTACTTTAATTTTCTTTGGTGCTCTTTCAGGCCTTATGGTGTTGGTGGGTTGGCCAGTGAGTTCATTCTCTTTAAGAATCTACGGATTGTTGATTTGGCCACTCCTAGAGTTTTTAGTGTCTCTGCAATATAGGTTGAGTTGGGAAAAGTAAAATGTTTTCTGATTTTTCTGTCTGTTTCAGGCTCCCTTTTAATTTTCTTTTCAAAATGCTTTTGAAATTGTGAAAAGTCTGGACTACTGGCAAATCAGTTTAGCACCTGGACTGTCTGAATCTATTCCCATCTTTACTCTTGAGGAAAAATCCCAATACAAAATATTCACAGTCTTTTCAGCTGTTTGCGCTATAATTGCTGAAATTCAATTCAAAATAAACATATGTATTTTTCTTAAAAACTAAATATTGTCACTTTCAACATTTTGAATGTTGGGTACTCAGTTGCTTTCGCTGCGATAAACTGACAATCCAGGGTGTACCCTTGATCTTGCCCAGATAGATTGAGATAGGTTGCAGCACTCCTGCTGCCCTGAACTAGATAATCAGTTAAGCAT